CAAGGCAGAGTCTCCTTTTAGCCAAGGACCCCGACCAGTTTTTGTGAAAATTTTATATACCCTAAGTGTACGTGCTCAAACCCATGATACAATCAAAGTTAACGTGATTCGTATGCCTTAAGCCTAGGTAGTTAACAGAGGACAATTATCAATAGGCCTGTGGTCATACCCCAATAAGCATAATAGAATTTATGATTCTATTTGGTTACGCAGATAATTAGGGTATTCTTTTAGGTGACAGAGAGTCTAGGTACAAGCCCTGGGGCTCTTCCATCTGGGAGGTCTGGTCTTCTAGTTGGTATGTCATTTTCATAGATACTGGGCATATAGGTCAAAGTCCACAGTCTGGCCCAAGATGGAGTCCTGCTTTCAAGATGGAGCCTGTTCTGTTTCCTCCTTCAATAGTATCCTGACCTTGTTTTAACAATAGCTTAACTTCTCTTTCCGAGGTCATTGAATATAATTCTATTAAAGTTTTCTTCTTTTTAGTGTGCTGTCTCTTTTGAGCTTTCTTTCTTCCTTGCTCCTGTTTTGATATCTCTTTTACATTAGAGTCTTTCCTCAACTGTCAAGCAATAATTGGTTTTCTGTACTTATTTTTTTTTAAGGTTAGGTTAAAATAAATTCTGGATGCTCCGTGTGCTTAGACTTTTGTTGACTGTAAAGTGCACTGTAGAATAACTGGGTGATGAATTGGTTTTTTAATTGAGAGATTTCTAAATGTCAGGACCTACAGGATTTTCTCTAAGCATATAATGTATTTATTTATGTAAAATTGAAGTCTTGACAAGACTGAGACAATTTCTATTATGGCAGCACAAACAACTAAAAATTGAGTGTGAGATATGTGGTTCCTAAAACGTCTCCTGCTATGTCTGCATCTTCAACTCTGTCTCCCCACTATATTGCTTATCAAATTCTTCTCTTCCCACTACTAAATTCTTACTCATCTTAAGGCAGAGCTGTTTGGTTCTTGCTCACCTATGTCCTCAGAATTCTCTTTCTACCCCTAGTCAGCTTTATAAATTATTTTCCTACAGGAAGGCAATCTAACCAATAGAAGAATCATTCTTCAGTTTCTGCCACATACCAAAACATCAACTGTTGAGGTAAAAAATCTAATAGTTACATGATAGCTATTATAAACTTGACTTCTGGATTGATGCCGACTTACATATAATCCTTACTTCTGTATAATATGTAATTACTGCATGTAGATCCATTCTACTCATTGAGATATTACATACATATTAATTGCATTTATCTTGATGTACACAGTCATCTCCTTTTTCAATGGTTCTGCTGAAACCATGTTTATTTATCCTCTTGATGATTGAGATTTTCTACATATTGGAACAGTCACACTAGGTTGTCCTGGATAGGACTTTCAATTCAATGCTCTAGACCTCTCAACAATACATTTGCCAGGAATTCCTCCCCAAGTCCTCAAGATCTAGAAACACAGTAGTGATAGATATAGCTGGATCTTAAACATGATTTCCTTCATGTGGAATCAAATACTTGATTTTCTGGTGGCGTTATAAGTGGACCTCCTAGCAGCATTTAATACATTGGATTGCTTCTTAAAGTTTCCCTGGATACCACATTTTCCTGGTTGTGTTTCTATCTCCTATTACACTAGCCACTCTTTCCTCTCCTCCTTTATTAGGTCGACCTCCTCAAGGTCAAGAGTACTCCAGGATCCTGTTTATTCACCCCATCTCTACTGTCTATCAGGTCTCTTTAGGTGATTCCATCTAGTTCATATTTTTACACTAATGACTCCCACACATTTATCTTCAACTCTATTGTATCTCCAGATACAATCTTCCCTGGTGACTCAATAGTAAAGCATCATCCTACCAATGCAGGAGACTCGGGTTCAATCTCTGGGTTGGGAAGATCCCCTGGAGATCTTCCCACTGGAGCAGCCCTCTCCAGTATGCTTGCCTGGAAAATCCCATGGACAGAGGAGCCTAGCAGGTTATAGTCCATGGGGTCACAAAAGTCACAGTTAAACAACAACATATTGTATTTTCATGACTCCAGTTGCCTACTCTCACATCTTTATACAGGCATTCAATAGACATCCAGTGCTTAGCATGACCACTATCAAACTCCGGAGTCACTGCTATCTGTACACATCCTAACTAACCCTTATATATCTCTTTCTACCCATTTTGGAAAATAGCACCAACATCCAGCCACTTGCTGAAGCTTCAAATCTGACAATTACCCTTGAAATTCTTCTTTCACTTAACCCACAAAAGCCATTTATCTATAAATACTATTGATTCTACTCCCATAAATGTCTTAACTCTGTCCAATTTTATGTATTTTCTTGACTCTTACCTTAAGGAGATCATAGTATTTCTTCTAGGCTACTGCAGTAGCTTCTTACCTGGGATACCTACTTCCAGGCTTGTACATAGCAATCCTGGAAGACTTTTTAGAGGCATAAATCAGACCCGGCTGCTGCTTGAAATCCTCCAAAAGTCTTTATGATTTACAGAACCACACATGTGCTCACTTGCCTATCAATCCTTCATTTGGTTCCTCACAACACAAGCTCATTCCTTCCCTAGAGTCTTTGAACCAGCTCTTCTTCTTTCTGCCTAGGAGCTTCTCTCATTCTTATAGGGCACATTCAATAGTCTCATGTAAAAAGTCACCTCCTCAGAGAATCCTTCATAGGGACCCACCTAGACTACTCATTGAATCACTTTCTTTACCATCAGCCTATTTTTAATTCTTTGGGTAACACTTGTCACTGTCTGATATTTTTCTTTCTTGTCCAGCCCCCACCACTCCTTGAGAAAAGTAACCTCATCAATCTCATTCAACTTGTATCATTAGTACCTGGATCTACAAACAAACAAACAAAATCTCAATGCCTATTTGTTGAATGGATGAATAGATGGATGAAAGGCATCTTAGAGGTCAGCTAGTCCAGCATCTTCACTTTTAGAGGTAAGAAACCAGAGAGAAAAGCAACTTGCCAAAGGTGCTTATAGTTATCTTGCTATTTGGCTTACTTTTTAAAATTTGTTCATTGTTTTAGTGACCTCAGCCACAACCCAAATCAACTATCTTTAATTACACTCTTGGCTCTACCAATTTCATCTGTTTATCATCTCACCCTAGGGTCATATCTTATTAGCATTATCCCACCTGAGGGTGCTTTGGACAGGAGTCAACTATATGTTATATTGTCAGCTGCCATTCACACAGGTCATAATTTCCTGGGGCAGTCATAAGCTTTGTTTATAAACTTGGAGAACTGACTTTTTAGATGTTTTCTCCTGCTGATCCACTAAAATCCCACCTTCTTACCAAACTAAATACATGATAGTTTCTGTGTATAGGGTAGAATTATAAATCTGTCATGTTTACAGGGTAATTATGGTTTGGTAGAAAGAGCTTTGCTTTGGGAAACCTGGATTTTGTCCATTTCTATTACTCAGAAGTTGTCTGAGTTTAAGCAAGCCCTTAATACTCTAAGCTTCAATCTCATAGCCTGTCCAGCTTTGCCGTGAGCAGGGAAACAACAAAAATGACAACAAAACCCAAACAACCAACAGCCAACTCTCTCACTTCCTCTCTCTCTTCCCTTATTTGGAATAATAAATATGAACATTCACTTTATAAGGATTAATTGAATTCATTAATAATCCAGTTAGTTGGATTGAATCAACTCATGAACGTGAAAACATTTTGCTAAGTGTAAAATGCAATACAGCCACAAGGGATTCAGTGTCAGGAACTGCTTATGTTAATCAGTTTCTAATGTTTTAAAAATACAGCCCTCAGTAATTGTGATTTTTGTTAAATCTCTGTTTGTTACATGTCAGACTTTCAAAACAGCAGTCTTCTTATCCAATATACTTTTGAATACTTTTAATCACTTTTTAATATAAAAGTATTATGTTCACTGTAGCTAATCCCAATGGTCTAAAATGAAAATGGAAAGTGCTCCTCTTTCACTTCAAGCCCCACAAGTATAAGCCCCAGACATAAGCAGTTAGCATTAGCTTATTATTTTTAGTTACTACACTACTCATAATAGCTCATATATAACATAATAGCTCACATAATTAGTTTAGTATTATTATGTGAATCCAAGATTGTTATAAGCACTTTTCATAGGAGTTCATTTTGATGCTCACGATGACTCTACTGCTTACGTATTACTGATACCCTCATTTTATATGTGAACAAACTGAGGCACAGAGTTGGGAAGCTAATGGCCCAGTGTCATGCAGGCGTTTGAGCTCAGGCAGACTGGCTCCAAAGTTCATGCTCCCAGTCACTATGAAGAGTATATCTCAGAAACCTTCTATTTGTGTATATACAGATCTGTATAATTTGAGTACTTACAGAACACTCCGTTGTATGATATAGCTTATCAACTCCTATCTTACGAGAACTTTTATTCTCTTCCAGATTTTTTCATTACTAGAAATAAACTGCAAAAAATTAAACCATCATGGGCAACCTAGTACTTTTGTGTGAGTGGGTGTCTATGGCATATGCAGCTGAAACAAAGGAGGTATACACTAACCTTTTTTGAGCAACACCACCACATTGCCTTGCATAATGAACACTTATTTTCACCTGGAGTCTACCAATCACCAGAATCACTGAGAGAACCAGTTATTTTTATGTGCTTCTGTTCTCTCCTCTGTGTTTTGCATCTGATTGCTCTGCTGTTTGACAAGGAATTTTGCCACACGGTAGGCGCAGCATCTGAGGAAAGCCGCTGTTCCTGTGGGGTGACGTCGCTGCTTCTGGGCATAGGGTGAGGAGGCATCTGGTGACCTCTCTGCTTGTGCTGCCTGGTACCCTGAGGCTGTGGGGAAATGACTGTGCGATCGTTCACCTTGGCTCAGCCTGAGAGCTACTGTGACAGATTTATTGGCTCTGAAACATTTATCCAAGCAGAACCTCTAAACCAATATACATTTTCAGTCACACACACTCTAGGGAGAGGGGGAGGAGAAGTCTAAGGAGTGGAGCTCTGCAGAGGTGTAAGTCCACCCCTCACTTCACTCTTGCAAATTTGAGAAATGAAGTGCATCATTTCTTCCAACTTCAGGTGTGTGTCTTTTTTTTAACCAGTTTTTCTCAGCCAGTTGGTACAGAAAAAAAGTACATTAATAAAAGGAAATTAATGAGGTCACTCAATCAACTACTATTTCATTATTTGTTTTGTAAGAGAAAATACTGAATAGTCTATAGTTCTTGCCTCTAAGAAACTTTCAATCTGCTTCAACTCTTGTAGGAATGGAGGATGGAGAAAATGGCTTGAATTTATAAAGGAAGGAATTGAGAGCAATAAAGAAGAACATATAAGGAAAAATCAGTAATAATATTATCACTATTTTCTTGATGAGAAAAATAAAAACTTAGAGTGAATATATGACTTAGCAGAGCTTCAGTTCAGTTTAGCCACTCAGTCGTGTCTGACTCTTTGCGACCTCATGAACCGCAGCACACCTATTCAAGAATAAATAATAAACAGTTCAAACTCTGGTTCCAATATCAAAGGTCACGTATTCTCTACTGCACTTGCTGGTAGTCTTCTGACCTGACTAATGCAGGTTTCTAGTTCCAACTAGACACCCTGTAGTACACAGAAGGATGTCTGTGTTGGATAGGACCCAACAGCTAGGGGTTGAGGTTTTTAAACACACAACTAGAATAACTTTCCCTTGGGTCTGTGAAAGGTGAGGAGGTAGAACTGTGAAATTCATGCATAAAGCTAGGACTGAGAAAGAACTGCTCTCACTACAGAAGGTGACTATGATGCTTCATTCACTTATGATAAAAGCAACTGGCAGAGTTCTCACTGATTAGATACCTGGATGGGAAAAATTTCACCATGATAAATGGCAATTTAAAGATCTAAGTTATGCACAGAGCTAGAATTTGGCTCAGCCTGAGAGCTACTGTGACAGATTTATTGGCTCTGAAACATTTATCCAAGCAGAACCTCTAAACCAATATACATTTTCAGTCACACACACTCTAGGGAGAGGGGGAGGAGAAGTCTAAGGAGTGGAGCTCTGCAGAGGTGTAAGTCCACCCCTCACTTCACTCTTGCAAATTTGAGAAATGAAGTGCATCATTTCTTCCAACTTCAGGTGTGTGTCTTTTTTTTAACCAGTTTTTCTCAGCCAGTTGGTACAGAAAAAAAGTACATTAATAAAAGGAAATTAATGAGGTCACTCAATCAACTACTATTTCATTATTTGTTTTGTAAGAGAAAATACTGAATAGTCTATGGTTCTTGCCTCTAAGAAACTTTCAATCTGCTTCAACTCTTGTAGGAATGGAGGATGGAGAAAATGGCTTGAATTTATAAAGGAAAGAATTGAGAGCAATAAGGAAGAACATATAAGGAAAAATCAGTAATAATATTATCACTATTTTCTTGATGAGAAAAATAAAAACTTAGAGTGAATATATGACTTAGCAGAGCTTCAGTTCAGTTTAGCCACTCAGTCGTGTCTGACTCTTTGCGACCTCATGAACCGCAGCACACCTATTCAAGAATAAATAATAAACAGTTCAAACTCTGGTTCCAATATCAAAGGTCACGTATTCTCTACTGCACTTGCTGGTAGTCTTCTGACCTGACTAATGCAGGTTTCTAGTTCCAACTAGACACCCTGTAGTACACAGAAGGATGTCTGTGTTGGATAGGACCCAACAGCTAGGGGTTGAGGTTTTTAAACACACAACTAGAATAACTTTCCCTTGGGTCTGTGAAAGGTGAGGAGGTAGAACTGTGAAATTCATGCATAAAGCTAGGACTGAGAAAGAACTGCTCTCACTACAGAAGGTGACTATGATGCTTCATTCACTTATGACAAAAGCAACTGGCAGAGTTCTCACTGATTAGATACCTGGATGGGAAAAATTTCCCCATGATAAATGGCAATTTAAAGATCTAAGTTATGCACAGAGCTAGAATCCACATGTAGATACTGGAAATATTTCATACCAGTGAAACTCCTGGAATTCTCAGAAGAATCAAATGTAAATTTCTCTGAATAGTTACTATCAAATAGTACAAGTACACACAGGGATTCCACAAGGAAAACAACTTGGCTGAAAATACTCTCACAATTAAGAAGTACAGTCTAACCAAGGAAGTGGTTCACCACAAGAAAGAGTCAGCAGATAGATGTGGGAGGAATAAACACAAGAACCTGAGATGTAATGATCTAAAGCTATCTATAAATTAAGTATATTTATAATCATTGAAGAGATAAAAGGAGAAATAAAAAACCCTCATGAAAAAAACCAGAGAATTTAAGAAGAACAAGCAGATAGGAACAACAACCAAATAGAACAATTCAAAATGAAAGCTGTGAATAAAATATAATGGCCAATTTAAAATCAGATTGGGACAGTTAAAGAGTTATAAAACCCAAAAGAGGGTGGGAGAAATGAATGACTAAATTTGAAGTTTCGATTTAGGACTAATGGGAATTTCAGAAGGAGAAAATGGGGAAGGGCCAATATTTTAAGTGAAAATGGCTATGAACTTTCCAGAACTAAGAACAGCCGTGAAACCTCAGACTGAAGAACCACAGTGAGTCTTACACAATATAGAAATCCACTGCTAATCCTGTGAAGAGTGGAACACTGAAGAAAAGCAAACTGTAATTGAAGAGCAAGTAGGGAAAAAAGATAAAATACAAAGGAACAATTATTAGGATAATAGAGGGTATCGGTAAAATAGAGACTAGAAGACAATTCTCACTTATCATCAGAATCACCTGAGAAGTACATTAAGCTACAGTATTATGGTTTTACCCCAGATGCTTTGGATGGTGTTCAGGAATATGCATTTTAAATCATCTTCTCAGGTCAAGTATGTTTGAAACCCTCTTTCCTTAGCACCAAGTACATAAACACATTGTACATTCTTATGCTCACACACGTTGTTCTCTGGTGTATTTTAGTGAGATTTCCCCTAAAAAAAAATGGAGAGGCTGGATCCATAACCAAGGGTAATTTCTAAAGCTTTATTATTTTTTAATCTCCAGGGTATCCATGCTAAATGGTGTCAGATGATTTACGCCCCCCAATAAAGGCAAAGTATCTCTGATCTCTGAAATCTTTTCCCATTTCTGTCTTCCCCAGTAAACATATGACTAGAATCAGAGGGCATGTCAGACCTCCTCATACTTTCAGAATCCTAGGTGTGTGTTTGTGAATGTTCCAAATTTTCAGAGTGTTTGGTAAGACATGCCTTCTGTCTTGCTTGGTATTTCATATTAAATACAAAAGAACAGTGTACCAAAACCACCAGTATAAGACATTTAGTCTACCTTTATGGACATCTGTTTTCAGATTAGTGGTTGATTAACTCTTATAATGGGCTTCCCAGGTAACTCAATGGTAAAGAATACACCTGCCAATAAAGGAAATGCAAGAGACATGGATTCGGTCCCTGGGTTGGGAAAATAGCCTGGAGAAGACAATGGCAACCCACTCCAGTATTCTTGCCTGGGAATTCCCATGGACAGAGAAGCCTGATGGGCTACAGTCCCTGGGGTCACAAAGAGTCCAACACGACTTATTGACTAAATAACACCACCATGACCAAGTGGGGTTTCTCTCAGAGATGCAAGGATTTTTCTATATCTCCAATCAGTGTGATATACCACATCACAAATTAAAGAATAAAAATCAAATGATCACCTGAATAGATGCAGAAAAAGCTTTTGATAAAATTCAACACCTATTTATGATAAACACTCTCCAGAAAGTGGGCATAAACGGAAACTACCTCTCAATATAACAAAGGCCATATGTGACAAACCATATTTCTCAATGGTGAAAAGCTGAAAGCATTTCCTCTAAGATCAGGAAAGAGATAAGATGTCCACTCTTGCTACTTTTATTCAATATAGTTTTGGAAGTCCTAGCCACAGTAATCAGAGAAGAAAAAGGAAAGTAATCCAAATTGGAAAAGAAGAAGCAAAACTGTCACTGTTTGCAGATGACATGATATGATACATAAAAAATCCTAGAGATGCTACCACAAATTTACAAGTCATCAGTTAATTTGGTAAAGTTGCAGGATACAAAATTTGCACAAAGTTATCAGTTGGATTTCTATACACAAACAACCAAAGGTCAGAAAGAGAAATTAAGGAAACAATCTAGTTCACTGTGGCATTAAAAGTATAAAATATCTAAGAATAAACCTACCTAAGAAGGCAAATTCTTTATGATTACATAGAAAATATATATAAAATACATAAAAATATAAAATATATATAAAAATCAAATCCCTTATGATTATACAGTGGGGGTGCCAAATAGATTCAAAGGACTAAATCTGGTAAAGTACCTGAAGAAATATTGATGGAGGTTTGTAACATTGTACAGGAGGTGGTGACCAGAATGATCCGCAAGAAAAGGAAATGCAAGAAGGCAAAGTGGTTGTCTGAGGAGGCCTTCCAAATAGCTGAAAAAACAGAAGTACAAAGGAGAAAGGGAAAGATATACCTAACTGAATGCAGAGTTCCAGAGCAAGGAGAGATAAGAAAGCCTTAAGTGAACAATGCAAAGAAATAGAGGAAAATAACAGAATGGGAAAGACTGGACATCTCTCCAAGAAAAATAGAGATACCAAGTGAACATTTCAGATGGGCACATAAAGGACAGAAATGGCAAGGACATAACAGAAGCAGAAGATATTAAGAAGAGGTGGCAAGAATACACAGAAGAACGATACAAAAAAGATCTTAATGACCCAGATAACCAAGATGGTGTGGTCACTCATTCAGAGCCAGATATCCTGAAGTGTGAAGTCAAGTGGGCCTTAGGAAGGATTGCTATGAACAAAGTTAGTGGAGGTGGTGGCATTCCAGCTGAGCTTTTCCAAATTCTAAAAGATGATGCTGTAAAAGTGCTGCATGTCATCAAATTTGGAGAACTCAGCAGTGGCCACAGGACTGGAAAAGGTCAGTTTTCATTCCAGTCTCAAAGAAAGGCAATGCCAAAGAATGTTCAAATTACCACACAATTCACATTTCACATGTTAGCAAGATTATGTTCAAAATCCTTCAAGCTAGGCTTCAACAGTATGTGAACTAAGAACTTCCAGACGTACAAGCTGGATTTAGAGAAGAGAGAGGAACCAGAGATCAAATTGCCAATGT